GCTGACCCTTCATCTGTCCCCAAACCCATTGTTCTCCAGGAAACTTGTTTCTATCACATAACTGGTAACTGCCCAACTAATCAAAGCACAACAATCTAAGGCAGACCACAAGCAAGGCTAGAACATCTGTTGCCAAAATTATTCTACATAATTAATTATTTTTAATTAATTTTCAAAGTCTTTATAATGAATGGCAATTTCAGGTTCTAATGTTTTCAAACAAACTGTGAGCTATTAATCCTCCACAGGTTGAATGAATCCCCAGAATATGGAAACCAAATGAAATCAAGTTGCTCATTTAGATGTTCAGCAGAAACTGAGCTAAGGTATGAAGTGGCCTTTATTAAAGAAATTATTAATATCATAAAATGAAAATAGAGATAATACAGAGATGATCATATGTAGTGCAATACATCATTCTACTCTGTAAAATGTGGCAAAAGAAATCATAATAAAACAGATTCTTCAAGCTTTTATCAATCCACCAGCAACTCGAAAGCCAGAGCAATGAAGTGGCCAACTGAAAGCAATTACATTGTCACTGCTGAAATACACTTAAGGCAGTGAACAGCAGACTGATACATCTGTTATGTTAGCATGAACTAGTATTTCACAGATGCTGCAATTCCCCAATTAAAGGGCAAGAAAAACCTTGAAAATTACACACCTGAACCAAAATTTCCTGAAATGCAGGAAGAAGGAATGTAATTATTATATGCTTTTGGAAACATAACATGTAATTTGTTTGGTTTGTGGTAACATACGATAGTGCTACAACACAATTCACTTTATTATACTTCTTCCATCAGTTCACAACATAAAAGGTATTCACTATATACAAATATGTAAAAAAAACCCCAAAACAAACACATAAAAGCAAACAAAGCAAGATCAGTTGGAGAAACAATTCCGTTCACTAAGTAAATCTGGTAAAACTTTATTTTAGTCTTGGTGATTTAATAAAAATTAATAGAATTAACTTTCATCAGAAACGGATGAAAACCCACAATATGCAGGCAAGATGCAAGATATCTTGCAGGAAGATCGAAAAGACTGTTGAAGCCAACATGTACTTGTTTGAAGGAAGCTACGGTAAAAATTGAATACATGGAAGTTTCTAAAATGGTCTCTCTCGAGGCAACCCATGACTGATTTTTACATGTCTAATAATCTTTATAACTCTAACAGATATGAAGAACAGAAATAATGAACTTTAAATTAATAATGTATTGACAATCACATAATCTCATTTCTCTGGAAGGCTCCTATGTATCGATGTGTAAACTACTGCAAGCTGTAACTTCCTTGGGCCGTCTGCATTTCAGAATGACACAGCAGTGCATATCAGCAGACCCTGGGAAAATAATTCTCTAGAGTACAGTCATTTACATGTCACTGCTGCCTGCGAAACATCACCACGCAAATAGTTTTTATATCATCTGCTAGTCATATTTATGTCCATCCCCTTTTTGCAAGCCCAAGGTCTTACTGTGAATCCTTACGAGCATGAGTAACCTTCTCTACCTGAAGAACCCGATGTAAATTCCTATCAGTGTAAAACTTCATGTATATGGCTCATGAAGCACTTTTGTATAAAGGAAGAACAAAGGAAAAGCTCCTTCCAAAGCCTGATCTCGAACTTCTAATGGTTAAAATCTAAGCATGCTTTCCAGGTATGTCTACAGACCCAGAGAATTATGTCAAAATAGCAATGCTTTTGCAGAGAAAGCAACTAATTCTGAGTATAGTCTTCTATCGATATCACAATCGACTGCATTTCTGAGGCCCAAACAAGATGCAATGGCTGCAGAGGACTAATGGCTGCATCAATACATTATTTTACAAGGCAGTAAATTTCTGATCATATTTCAACAGAAGAAAGTACACGAATCTTGCCAATCTAAATAAAACATCCCATGTTAATAACCGGCAGGAAAATGGGAATTAAACTGTGTGTCATAGAAAAAAAGCTGCTCTCTGAGATAAGCTAAATACATTTCCCATTATTAACCACAGAAAACGGAATGTAAACAGCCTTTATTCTACCTTGTACAGCCCTTTCTCCCTGCTTTTGTTTTCCAGACTCTATTAAGGTATCAGGGAAAAAGCAATGTTCGTCATATGTTTCCAACACTTTGTTCATGCGGCCCATAGATGGCAATGCGCTGCCTCCCAGCTCAGCTCCAGCCGGAATATTATTCCCTCACACCACCGGGACGCTTAACCTCTCCGGCACCCCAACAACTTCTTAAATCATTAATAATTTATTGCTAAATGCTCTCATTTTTTCTGATCAACAAGTGTTATTCAACAGTTCCAAACAGGTTTGGAAACAGTTGTGCTGTTCGGTGAGCATTTAACGAAATTCAGCATAAATTTAAATGCTGAATCACTGTTTCAGGACTCCTCAGCCATATAAAGGCATGTTTTATAGATACTGCCTGGAAGTTCAACCCACTTTTTACTTCATGTAGGGAATGTTTATATACAAATGTAATAGTTCACATTTTATCCACATAAACAAAGCTGAATTAAGCAATACATCCGAGAGAGTCTTGCTACACTTACCTATAATTAAGAATGAGGAACATTTGCTTCTCCTTGGAAAAGAAGTGATCTCCCTGATAGTTACTGAATAGCTACCAGGCTGTATCATGAACTCCTGATTCACCTCATGTCACCTCTCCCCACTAACTCACCTCCCGAGAATGTTTCCTATAATTCAAAATAACTGCTTAAGCAGTTAAAAATAATTTTAAGAGGACATCTGATGATAAACAGCTAAAAAATCGCTTCAAACCATTACAGTTAACCCTACTCAAGACCTGAGGAGAGCCAACATTTAAAACTGGCCAGGGCTAGCCAGGACTAAAGCCCCATCTCTCTCAAATCTGCTGATTTTCACCAGTGCAAATGAAAACTTTACACTACTAGCAAAAGACAACTTCCACAACTATGGTATGTTGAAACACTACAGTGTAGAAATAACAGATCATACTGAGAAACTCCAAATAATAATATTTTCAACAAAGATAAACGATTATGTGGATTGCAGTGGCATATATATATACCTGGGATAGGCACATGATAAAGATATCAGCCATATGGAGAAACAACAAAACAAGTCCCAAGAGGAGTTTTTTGGTTAACACACGAAGTAGTTAAAACACATGGTATGCAAAGAGTTGTTCAGCACTGCTTCAGAATAATTTCCATAAACCACCTAGATTTGCTATTTGTGAAGTGTTCGTAACTGTGCCAAAATGCCTTTATACCATATGGAGCATGTATGTAATTTATTTTCTCACAAAGTATAAAATTAAACTAGGTTTTAAGCTTAAAAAACGTAATTAAGCCAATACTTGTCCTTTGAAGATTAGGGTAGAAAAATACTTTTCTTACTATCAGAGCACTATGGCTTCACTTACAGGATACCTAGTCCATTAGTTCAGGATTACTGCACAGTCCACTTTAACAACAGGGTCCTGCAATATGTTCAACAGAACACAGGTGGCCTTATCTGAGGATCTGTGGCCCACACAGGAAGACACATGAAAGATGCCTTAACCAGAGATCACAGTTCGGAAGTGCTGCATATGAAGATGAGAATAACTGAAGAAAGATAGCCATAATAATACTATAAAAGCTCTCTCCTATCATGTCTAACACACCTTACAACAGAACTAGTAAACTAAGAAGATTAACTTGGATCACTGACCACCTCCTCTCTAGACAAGTCACATTTTGGAGTCTGAATGCTAAAATAGGATAAGCAAACACAGCAGATTCTTCTTTTTATTAAGCCCGTAATGCCACATAGATCTGAATCGTACTGTATTCTACAATTTACCTCTGCGAATTTAGTGTTTCCATAGGCTCCCATCTTTTGTCGTGTAGTAAGACATGTACTTAAAATACAATTCAATACCTGTAAAACTTGGGCATAAGTACAAACTGTACTTATGTGCAGAAGGCTGAATAGTTGCACAACTGGAAGGCTCCGCTTGAACTTTCCCTATAAAGACAGAAAGTCTGCAAAAGCAGCAAGAAGGCTGAGCTAACATGGTGATTCTCCTCAGATTTCTATCAAGTGTCATCACTTAAACATACCCGGAATCACAATGAAACTGACTGATCTTTCCAGGCCATCTTTTGCCATCAAATGACTGACTGCTGATGCCAGTACATATGAAGCCATACTCACAGCATTAACCAAGCAACACAAAAATGAAACTATAATGAATGTATGAATAAATACACATGAAAAGGTTGCAAGGCAAGAATATTACAGAAAACGTATGCTTAATTTTCACCCTGCATGTTTTACCTACACAGAGGTAAGATATTTTGGCATCCAGGTTTGTTTATTTTCAAAATCAAGATGCTGATCTTCCACTACTGGTAACACACTGAGGGCTGATCGTTCCACAGACCCCACAGTGAACCTGCATTATCAAAACTGCAGCACTGCTTTATTTTACATGATGACCAATGTTAAAGCTGGAGGGATAACTACACTGAGCCACATGTATAGTCAAAGATGAAACCATCAACATGCATCAGTGTTAATTCCACATTAAGATGAACAATTAAATTCCGATTTTAGAGATATTAACTTCTGTAGCCACAATATACACACTTTCCAAGTGATTGTAATGCCTAGATAATTATTAGGCACTTTCCAAGTGACTGTAATGGCTAGATAATAATTCTGTATATAATATTAAGTTTATATGCAAGTTAAGGATGCCATCAAAAGCACACGATTAAAAACTTATCGCTGAGACAACTGTCTTGTGATTTACTAAGGTATACACTAAAGTTCACATCCACATTTACAGCCTTTCTATTCCATTCTCATCCACAGCCATTAAGCATTTCCTATGATTTCATCCTCTTAGTTCTTACAACTTCAGACACAAATTCTGAAGGATGCTGCATGCCTTCTTCCCTGCTTCTGTGAAACTGAAACTACTAAGTGGTCTAACAGCAAAATGAACTAGGTGGAATACATATGTGTAAATGTACTCATATATGTGTGTGTAAATATATACACATATGTATATAAAAATTAAATTATATACATATATATAACCATAGGCATTAGTGTCCTGTTAAGACCAGGAAGACAGAAATGCTGTCAGGGATGCTCACAGTGGGGTCACACTCAGCAGGACAGCACCCAATTCCTGTTCTGCCCAGAGCAAGTTTTTTCTCACCTGAGATGGTGCCTCATTCAACCAGTATCATTTTTCAAATCATTGGAGAAAGACCAATCTTCTAAAAACCCATTAGCCAGTCAGCAAGCCAACTGGCAGAAAAAATTTAAGAGGAATGCTTGGAAAATAAGTTTTCCATAGCAAGTGAAATCTAGTATTTTAAAACAACCTGAATTATCCCTTTAGAAACTTAACAGCTGCAGTCTGGGAGTATCTACATTCTTCTCAGACTTGTAAAGACTGTACCACGTATAGTTTATTGTAAGCTTTAAATATGCACTACGTAAACCACACCAAAATTTTCAGTGAATTGCAGCATTTAGCCTAGGTTGCCAATGCTAATTTTACAACTGGGCTGTTCAAAACAATTAAAGTTGTAAAAGAGTAAATATTAGCGTGTAATGTTGAATCTGCATTGTAAAAATGTATATAAAACACCCATATAACAATTTTTTTTTAAAACGTATAAATACTAGATTTTGAAAGAGTTCTTTTCCTAAATAATGTCAACTTTACAAAGAACTATTGCAGTCAATTACGACAGCACATCAGTAAAGTCAAACATTTCAAAAACAGCCTTAAAGAATTTAGGCTAAGGCACATTCTAGAAACAACTCTCCAGCAAAGACTGACAGTACTGTCACAAAAGAGAGCAACAACTGTATTCTTTCCAAACTAATGAAAATAGACAAATGGTAGTACAGACAAAAAAATATTCACAACTCCCTAATCTGAAGTTCTTTGTGTGTTAACAATAAGAACTATTAATCAAAATTCCATTAACACTACCAAATAAGTGAATCAAAGCCTTTGTCAAATCTAGACTCCTTTCTATCGTTAGGTATCTTGTATTTCCCTGCATATCGTCATCCATTATCTTGTTACCCTTTGCTTTAGGTATTAAATGGGTTTAATATACAATTGAAATCAGGGCAAAGCCTGAAGCAATTACTAGTTTACCTTTAAATTATGTAAATCTGTCTTGGAGATATAAATGCAATGCTACAAAAAAAAAAAAAAAAAGCTTTTCAAGGAGGAAGAAGGTAGGCAGGGGTCTAGAAGTAATGGAGATGCATTCCCCTAGCACTCCAACTGAAAAGGCTCCACATCTTCCCTCTGATTGTCACTTTCCTTCAATTTACAATGTAACTCAGACCACATCACCCCAGTTCTTGTACTGGGAGTTCTGGAATGACAGTGCATTTCTATTGGACTTAAGATGGTCAGTCAACAACAACTGAATATTCTTCCCTCTGTGGAACGGAAAAAACAGAAACTTTCAAAGACCTCTCACTGGAAAACCCACAAGGATTAGAACATGGAAAACAGCAGCATAAGGAGGGGGGATAAAAGCAGGGAAAAATGAATCAAAGTGTTTTTTCAAAGGCCAGTTTCTCTTGTAAAGACACCTATGCCAGTGCCAGCAAATTTCTAGCAGCAAGGTGCAGAAATTTAGGGTATTCATTTTCAACAATACTGCCAAAACTTGGTATCTATCCATTAACTGTTACATGAATGCTCACCTACATAGTGTTCTCAGAAGAGTACACAAAATCAGGAGGACCTTAAAGATTCATGATACATTCTCAGGCCTAAAAAAAATGCAATCTAAGACTCCTTATCCCAACGAGTAGTTTCAGACATTTGGTATTATGGAAGGGTGTTCAAAAGGTTGGACCTAGACACAAAGGCAGATTTATGCGATGAACTATAGTTGTTTACTCTTGTTTTAGTTATTCTAAGCTTTCTTGTAGTCAATGAAAAAAAACAGTTATCTTATGGCTAGATTCACCTCATCCTGAAACTGACATCTGAGTCATCCTAGAAGTGACTCTCTAAAGGCAGGAATCTCTTTAGATACAGTCTAAATTTGGAATATAGAGTTCTATATCCTAGATGCACTGAATACCGTTCATAGTATCTGAATACCACCTAAATTCTGTTAAGTGAACGCAGGAATCCAATCAACACCTAGGTTCAAAACTTCTGACCTCTTTCTTCAAAAGAGGGTGGGCTGCACAAAAATACCTAGAAAACAGGCTGAGCACCTTACAGCGTATTGACAATTCTCATTAGAAAACAAACTGAGTTACTTTAAAATTTTTAAATTACCATTAAGTTTTCAAAAATACATTTAGCATCAAACACACAAAACTATCCTTTCATCTTCAAAATTACCTTGTCTATTTACTTCATTCTGAAGCAGCTCTTCCATTGCCTCTTCTTCAGCAATATCTAATGGAGTGTCTCCTTCACTATTTACAGCTCCTACATGTGCTCCTTGACTAATTAAATACCTGCCAATAGAAAAAGAAAAACAAACTGTAAGCAATATAGTAAAGCTGATGCAAAAAAAACCCCAAAACCAAAACAAAACAGCAGCTATGGGTATGGGTATATACATGCACAGGTACCATTAATATAAACAACTATATTAGGTTTACATAAAATCATGACTGTCTACAATCCCTGAATATCTGTACGTCTTTTCATCATCATGCCCATTAATACAAAGAGCTCTCTGTTTGCTCTTCAGTTTGCCACAAAGACTCTTGACATATTTAAATAAATAGTTGCAAGAACTGAAAGAAGAAAATGGTCAGATGATGAACAAAAGCAACCACAAGGTGAACAGGGTTTGAATCACCCATTTCCATGAGCTCCTCATATTAAACCACTCTTCCTTGAAATTCCAAATTCAGTGGCACGTTATGTTTCTGTATTTTGCCAGAAGGATAACACTTGGTCTCTGAGGCAGCTTCATAAAGGTTTTTCCAACCTACTTGATTCTATGGCTCTATGAAAAGCAAAATGTCCTCTGCTGCTTAGTATTCATAAGGTCAGCTTCTGGTGGGGAAGAGAGGCAAGAGGGAGCAAGGAAGCAGTATTTTATACTATTCCAACACCTTTGAGTGTTTCCTTACTAGAAGTCCTACTGCCTCAGGAGTCAACAATCCAGACTCAATGGGAATTATTTCTGAATTTCCAAATAAGTCAAATTGATTAATTCCAACAGTAAGTCACAAAAGGATTAAGTTATTTCATTGCATTAAACCATAAGCCTATAAAGTTACTGAGAATCTACACTTAATATATAGTCTGCTTCCAAGTAGACAATGAACAACAATTAAAACACTAATACAGATCAGCCTTGCACCTTCTGACTATAACATTTGTACTTCCCTAACAAATTTAACAGTTTGATCCACAATAGAACTCAACAGAAGCAAAAAATTGCAAACATACGTCCTGCCATGCACAGCTTAATTTACACTTTCCATATATTTGAGGAAAAAACATCAGGAAATACTCAGACCAGAAGAACTAGTTATCCATTTGTTAACAAGTGTACGAAAAAGTGCTTTCTTAAAGTCACTGCTGCAAAATGCCAAATTATGCAGAAGCCAGTCACAAAATTAATCCAGTACTAATACACGTGCTTTAAAGTATTTCTGCTTAGCCACTGCCAATTAACAACAACAGATTCCAGATCTAGGATCATATTTTCCTTCTCTTTCCTCAATAACTCAGCATGAAGTACTCTCAGACATTTCTATTTTTTAATGTATGATGTAAATAGCACTTGTCATTAAACCTCTGTAATAACGTCAAGAAGAGGTAAGAACTGACAGATCACAAAATGGGAATTAATTCCCAGAAGCGTAACTGTATCTCCTGGGATATGCATCATCAGTTGCCACGGCTAACTTTGATGTTGGTATGCGGTGTGGTTTTATACTGTCCCTCTTAACAGTGCTGCTGTGACTCTTATCCCTCTCCAGTTTAAAGATTTAACTTCTGCAGGAATGAAAAATTAATACAAAATAACAGCATTTCTCAACAATACTGGGGGTACTGTTTTAATGGTGACACAGCCTTCCAGGTCACAGATCAGGTAATTGCTATGCAGGGTGTCTGCTAAACAGGCAAAAAGAGCTGTGGGGAAACCAACTTACAAAGTCAAAACGTTGATTCAAAACCAAAGTGAATCATGGACAAAAATATCTTTATAACAGAAAACCCCAAGTAACCACTTTTGTTCTTTCAACCTGTTTTTAATAATGCAGACACGAAAAAAGCGATGTTCAAAAAGAAAAAAGAAAAAGATTTTTACACAATACCTATATGGAAAAATTAAGCTACGTTTGTAAGGAAAATATATATCTCATTGAAGTAGGTGTATTTGGTCAACTGGGTCAATAACTTATAAATGGAGCAGTGCATAAAAAAGCGTAGGGAATGAACAAAAGGCTACAGAAGTATTTCAGAAAGTTTTTAGATATATGAACAACTTTATGATCAAATGATCCTTTAAAGTAGACTCCAAAAATTAAGCTGCTCACAGACCAAAATCAGATCAGCAGAGATTAGTATGGCTCGTGCAGTAGAGCTAGTCAAGTTCCCCTTTGCATGTGCTTACAGGACTTTGGTTTTCCTCTGTCAACAGAACCATGCCCTTTGATACCAAATCCAGAAAAAGGTGCTTTTTGCAAACTTGGATGCAGTTCAAAAGTAAAAACATATAGGACTCCTGATGCCACCTGCTTGCAAAACCTTTTGGTATAGCACTTAAATTTGAGTCTTTTTTAATTCACTTGTGGCAAATAGCCGTGTTCAACAGACAGCTACAGAAGAATAATTCAGACAATCTGACGATAATCTATATAATGTTCTGGTAGGCAGTCATTCATTCAGAATGTAAATAAATGAAAGACATGATCCATAGCAGCTTCATCCATACCATGCTTGGTTCTGGAGCTATAGCTTTCAATTGTTGATACTGAAGCTAAAGGTACTTTTTAGACACTCTTGTGGCCTAAGTACACAGAACTGCAAGTATCCCAGGAATACTAAGACAGACAAGAGCAGGAAAATGAAATCAAATTGTTCCTGATACTTCTGCCTTGATGTTCCCATGACAAGCATTACGCAGTCTGGGTAAGACTGGAAGAACAAGTCTGCTTTGTGATACTGTTGTTTTATGAAGCCAAAATATTTCTGTTTGAAATCTGTCTTTTAAGAATCACTGCTATATATTCCTCCACAGCTATTATAGCTGCAGTTAACAACCTTGGAAAAAAAAACAACAAACCAAACCACATTTATTTTCTATAATTATTACAAAACCCAGATTCTTCCTCATCATTTTATGAAAAATACATTTCAATACCTTTCATAAAGGGTTGGAACCTTAGTATCTCTGAGACAATAAATAATAAGAAATCTCTAAGATTACTGTACAAAAGCCAAACAGTCAACACCAAAACTCAGCTCAGGAACTGGAACTTTAAAATCTGAACTAGCAACTTCGGCCTACACTCTGAATTAAAAAAACCCAAACTCCAAAACAACAAAAACCTCTTACAGCTGAGGTGTGGTGTGTGTAAGTCTATTAATAAAGTGCATACAGAGACACAAAGTAAGCAGAGAAGACACCTCTCTCTGGACTTATATGCAAATTTTAATCTTATTTGTGAATTTAGAACCTAAGAAACTGTCAGACTCTCAAACTTTGGTTTTAATGAAGTCTGCCAGCTGCAGACAACAAGATCTGCTGCAGGTAACATTCTAATATTAGTTTATCTCAGGAACAGGAAGAGGGGCACATTCGAACCTTGCCCCAGTTCCCAATATCTGCAAACAAGTTTGTGAAGTCATTAGGGATATAATTAACTTTAAGTACTCGCTGAACCTGAAGGTCACCAGAACCGTGGCAAGCACAAGGCAAAGGCAGGGCAGAGAAGTGGCCACTGAATTGATTCAGTTCATTAAAGACTCTGTCCTGAGCTCACTGGAGACCCACCAGTGAAAACAAGAGGTCCCTTCAGGTGAGTCAGAAGACTGGTCAGCAGTCTCTTAACTCCCAAAATCTGAGGACAGGGACCCTCCTAAAAAATCCCTTGCTGAATAAAGTTTCAGCGTGTTGTATATACATTTAAAATAAACATGTACAGTGAGGCCTTCTAGGGAAACACGGTTTAATTGCTCGTGGGGGCACCAAGCAGCAGAACAAGCTGTCTCCCAACAGTTTTTAACTAATTGGCAGTTTTAGCTAAACCCAGCTGTTTTTTTTCTTTAAATCCATACATAGTGGAGTTCAAGTTAATTCCATGAGCATTTTAACTGAACGATAACAGGGAGCCAAAGACAGAGAAAGCGTCACTGTGTTCTCACAGCTATGCAAGCTGTCATGTGAAGAAACAAATTATGAAAAGAAATGTGCCCCACAGGATGTAAAACCAAACAAACCATACACACCTCTGGAATACGTATTTTAATGGCCTTCTTTTAAAATGCCATTCAGAATTATTTCATTGATTTGCTTCAAATATAAAGTATCCACGCACTTTTAAAACTACATATTTGCAAATCATATACATTACTAATAAAAAGGCATCCACATTAAATTGGCCAAATAATGAGACCTTCAACAAACATTTAACAAATAAATATGATAAAATTTTAACATTGTTGCTTCCAATTTCATTTTTTCTAAGCTGAAGTACACTAAAACTCTCCCCTTTTCAGACCTATTGGTTTGAGTGGCTGGGAATATTTCTTTAAATATTTTCTCATTGAAGAACAGTTTCATTTCAAATTTAAATTCTTAATGTTGTTGTTATTAACTCAGAGAGAAGCAGAAATGCTACCTCAAGCTCTCCAAAGCTCCCCAGTCCTTCTCAAAAGTGGTTTTGTACTGGGTTTGGTTTCTTTTTTAATTTGCAGCAAAAATAACACTGCAGGCCAGGCAAGCAGAGGTATACCTACCTGCATATACAACATATCAAGAGATAAGACAACAGCTTATATGTCGTTCTTGAATTTTTATGGTGCAGTTCTCAAAATAAAGGCCTAGTCTTTTTCTTTTTTTCTTCCCCCCTCCCCCCCTTGAAATCTTAAATACTACAAACTTCAAGCAATGATACAATAGCATTAGAATAACATTGTGCTAAATTCTGCGTGGTACATAGTACACATATGCCCTGTGTCAGTGGGCAAGTTTCAAGGAAAATGTGTAGCTGGTTAACACAAGTGAACAGCCAGTACCCAGCTGCCCCTCAAATACTCTCACGCACCCTCACACTGTCATGCTCGCTTTTAAACACATTATTCAAACCCCATGTAAATGTAATGATAAAAGTCACAATTTCCCTGGTTTTGAAATTATATATTGTAACCATTATAAGGATTTAGCAGACAGTGTTAAAACGTGCACCACAGAGCAGGTGCCAGACAGGTCTGCAAGGCATGGCAGAGCCCTCCTGCCTGGGCAAGGGGCACGCTGCACAGCACCCTG